CTCTTGGCCTTTCAAATAAGGAGCCTCACAGCTCAAAAGTCCAAATTTAATGTATCAGCAGTTTTACCATCTCAGACAGTTCACTCTGTGGATACTGAAAGACTGAAAGGCAAGTTTGAACTTAATGCCTGTAAGAATAGAAGGCTGCACTTCCATCCATAAAATAAGATGCCATCTTGAAAGCCAAACATGAATATTCAACCCCCTTCCTCTTTACTGCTATGATTTTTTTTCTGGCTTCTCTTCCTATAGCATTTGTACAGATAAAATGTAATCCAATGAGATACCCTGTCAACAAACTCTTTTATTGGCAAATTTCTGTAACAAGAAAGTTGGCCAGATGAATTCTCCATGCTATTTAAGAGAAATAACCCTTACTATAAATTTCTATTTTAGGAAGGCTTACTGATACACCCTGTTTAAATTTAAAGCCATATCTCTCTGAGTTTTAGTTTCTTATCTGTGAAAATAAATATGGCTTTTTCCCCCTTATTCAAATACACTGTTCTACAGTTTATTGAAAAGAGCTTCAAGCTTTGTTTTGCATTTCTGCAAAATAACAATAAAAACATTTTCTGATAGCTTTTGTATGCCAGACACTGTTCTAAACACACTGCACAGATTATGTCATTAAGCCTCAAAACAGCACCCAGAGGTAGTTTCTAACACCTATTATACAGAATGAGGAGGCTGAGGCTTTATGGTTTCCTAAAATCATACAAGTAATAAGTGATAGAGCCAGGGAGTCTGTTACTAGAACCTAGTATACCATATCATATACAGAAAGAGGACAGTTAAGACTGTTTTTAGGAACTTTACATAAGAAACAAGAAAAACCGGGGTGCCTGGGGAGGCTCAGTCAGTTAAGAGTACTCTTTCTCAGGGCAGCCCAGGTGGCTCAGCAGTTTAGTGCCGCCTTCAGACCAGGGCCTGATCCTGGAGACCCGGGATTGAGTCCCACCTTGGGCTCCCTGCATGGAGCCTGCTTCTCCCTCTGCCTATGTCTCTGCCTCTCTCTCTCTCTCTGTGTGTGTGTGTCTCATGAATAAATAAATAAAATCTTTAAAAAAAGAATGAAGAAAAGCTATATGTTGCATAGTGCCTCAAGAAAGAAATATATTTAATAAAAGGCATAATGTTGAACCTTCTGATATCTAATTCCTTCATTTTTTTTAAGATTTTAAAGATATAAAGATAAGAAACAGACATCTTGCTTTTGTTACTCAATTTTGTTGACTCACTGATACAGTTTTGTGTAATTATGGTTTGTATAACATCATTTCTGTATAGTATTCCAATGTATAGGTACACATTTGGCCATTTTCCAGAGTAACTATACATAGAATAAACCCAGATCTGCTAGATACAAAGTCTGAGCTGGCACCATATGAAGGGAACAGAACTGCTCTCATGCTCACTGCCCTTCAGAATGAGAGCAATAGAGTCATAGTTCAAATCCATTCCCCAGGTAGTCAAACAGGTCCACCTTCCAGTTATTTCCCAGCTTATTATAGAGACAATACACTCAGCAGCTGAAAGAATCCTCACACCAGCTGCCTGAACTGTGGAATAAGAACCACGTGGTGGGCAAGGTCCAGAAGAAGCCTCTGAAACTACCTCTGTGAACCCTGGTTTCACCCTCTGGAAGGTTCTTCATATTCATCATCCTCCTTAGCCACACCTAAAGCAAGATGGGTAAAAGCTGCCGCCTTCATTCTGAGCAGCTTTTTCAGGATACTTCCTGCCCACAGAAAATTCAGGACCCAAGATTGTTATGTATGAGTCAGTCACGGCCTTCTTTGAGCAGACTCTTTTGTCAGATTAACTTTCCTACACAAATCTTTCACATTCTGATTCTTCTAAAGTCTGTATTTTATGTATGTCCTAATTTTATTTTTCATTCTTTTTTTTTGGGGGGGGGCAGAGTTCTCAGAATCACTACATTCCTTTGCTTTCTTGACCTCAAGACTCTCTCACATAAATTAATTGTATTTACCTTGCTTATAAGGTTTCTGTGGGAGTGCCTCACAATTAATCTCTTTTCCTTGAGGTGCCGAAGGGATGTACTGGGTAAAACACATTTAGGTGGATACTAAATACACCTACTTTGAAACGTCTTACCTCCTTCCATTGTTTTAACATCTGAAGAGTTCAACCCTTGACACAAAATTGATTTTTAATTGACTTTTATTCCCCTTCTTAGTATTGGCTTTTTCTAGATGAAGTTGAAAGCAATGGTATCTTCCAAGAGTAAATCCCTGAATTTGAAGACTTTCTCTACCCTTTTTTATTCCTGACAGCAAACATAGCAATTCTTTTCTGAATTCATCTCTTCTGAATAATATCTTGCAAATTCAGCCATTAGAAATCCACATAAGCTTCTAATATTGTTTTCCCATGTCATTCCCTAGAGCTTAGCCTTATTAGCTATGTGTCTCCCAAGTTATTTCAAGGAATAGTTTAATCAACTCTGTCACCATTGCATAATGTGGATTACCAGTTCTTCCAGCTCCAGGCATTTTCATACCCTAGTAATGCTAAAGAAAAAATTATTCATGATACTTTAGACTTTATTCAAGGGAACTGCTACAAATGGGGTCTTCGCAAGAAGGGAGAAAGATTGAGCTTAACTTCAAGTACATTAAGGACAGGTGGAGGTATATAGTCTAGGAGCAGGATGGAGGTCAGTATACGGAAAATTACTAAGAGGGAACATCAGGGGTGGGGGATACTGGGTAAACTGAAAGGATGTCTGAAGGCAGGCCAGGGTGATAAGATATCAAGGGTGGGAAAGAGTTGAACAGATATAAAGGGTAGGGAATATGTGCTAAACTGACTCAGCAAGATTCTTGATAAAATTGGACTAAATGGGTAGGGCCTCTAGACATGGATGGAGTCCAAGGTCAGGGCCTAGTCAGAAAGAGGATTCAGAGGAGGCTGACTCAAGTTTGGTCAAAGGAAAGAGTCTTTGTCAATATTTTGGATTCTCTCCCCTCTTAAACTTTGAAAAAATATTACCAATTTGGTCTTCTTTTGCTTGTATAAAATCGCTCACTTTCTGTTAGCTTTTCATTAGCTTTCAAACGTGCTCAGTGTAGGGTTGCCTTGGTGACTCAGTTAAGCATCTGCTTCTGCTCAGGTCATGATCCCAGGGTCCTGGGATGGAGCCCAGGAGCTAAGGCATCTGTCTCTCTGCTGTCTGCTTTTCCCTCTGTTCCTCCCCCCCACCACCTGCTCCGCCCCTGCTACTGCTCACCTGCCCTCCCTCAGGCTCTCAAATAAATAAAATCTTAAAAAAAAAAAAAAGTTCCCAATATAAATGTAAACAACAACAAAACTTCCTTGAGTCTGCATATCTTTCTAGTAACATCTCTGCTGCTCTCAGCTTTACATCTTCCAAATCAAACTTCTCAAAGTTTTTTCTCCATGCTCACCATCCTTACTCCTTCAGCTCTCATTCACTCCATAACATATTTCAATTTACTTTAGCCTCCATTACTACACTGCAACAGCTCTTCCTGCATCATTGACTCTATGTAACTAAACTCATTGGACATTTTCTGATCTTCATCCTATTAGGTCTGTCTGCAACATTTAACACAGCTGTCCCCACCCCCTATCCTGAATCTATTCCTAACATCCATTTTACAACACTCCTCTGATTTTTGTCCTTTCCGCCCTTCTCATTTGTAGCTTCATCTCTTTTTCTCTGCCATGAAATACTAGCATTTCTCTACGTCTCCCTTTCCTCTCTCACTCTACTCCCTTTAGGTTGCACACTTTACCTTCGAGTCCCATTCTTTTCAGAAGTAACTCACAGATCTACATCTCCAGCCCAGACTCTCCATTTAACTCCAGACTCTTATCCAATTGCTTATTCAACAGCTCCAATTGAAAAATCTCAAAGGGGGATCCCTGGGTGGCGCAGTGGTTTGGCGCCTGCCTTTGGCCCAGGGCGCGATCCTGGAGACCCGGGATCGAATCCCACATCGGGCTCCCAGTGCATGGAGCCTGCTTCTCCCTCTGCCTGTGTCTCTGCCTCTCTCTCTCTCTCTCTCTCTCTGTGTGTGACTATCATAAATAAATAAAAATTAAAAAAAAAAAGAAAAATCTCAAAGGAATGTGTCAAAATGTCTCCACATGTCCAAAATTCATCTCATGTTCTTGTTCCACAAATCTGGTCTTTTTTTCATGGGTCCCTGTAGCAGGTGAAGGCATCCCGCTCCATTCAGTCACACAACAGTCATCTGAGGGGGTCATTCTTCATCCCTCAATATTGCTCAAACATCCTATCCAATTGGTCTCAATATATCATATCACGATGCTGTGCAAGTTTGTCAATGGCAAAAAGTAACCCAGAAAAATCTTTAGATTGTCAATATATAAAAGGATTAAACTCAAACTTTGACTGTGATCCTATAGTTTTTTTAATGTGAAGAAATGTCATGTGTTTTGCTTTGCCAAAAATCTTTTAATCAAAGATTTTTATTTTTAAGTAATCTCTACATCTAATATGGGCTCGAACTCACAACTCTAATAATGAAGGATAATTGGAAGAAAGGTAGGCAGGGAAAGGGGCCCCCACCTGAAAAGGAAACCACCCTTGAAAGGATTTTACACCACCCTGGAGGGAGCACTCCACCCTTTTCTACGCGAACAGCTCCCTGATAAGTAGATGAGCCCGTGGACAAAAAACTGACTGGGTGACAGGCACCTGGAGATTAATCAGATTAAAACAGCCTGCCAACAAGCCATAAATACCCCTAGATTTAATGCCAAACTGGCAACCCTCTCAGGTCCCTTCCCTTTTTAGGAGCTTTTTCTTATCGCTTGATAAACTCTGCTTTCCTGCCCGCCACTCTCCCTCTGGTCCACCTCTTCATTCTTTCAAGTTGCCTGACCAAGAACCACAGGCACTAACTAAAGGAAAAGAAATCCTGAAACACTCTGGTCAGGAGTTGCATGCTCTACATCCTGAGCCAGCGAGGAGCCCCCCAAAAATCTATCATATTGATAAACTATCTGACAATAAATTGTATTTCTCAAAGAAGTATTTTTACACAAGGAAAATACCCTGGACTAAAAACAAGGGTTGCTAGACAGGCCCCTATGCCATTAGAACAGCAAGGTCATATGGGGCCTGATGGTGACCATGATTCAAACCTTCTCATCCAAGGTGTAGTGAGGGGTACCATAGCCTCAGGAGGATGCCCTGGAGGGATAGGACAGGCCCTGTTCAGTAGGCCTGGAACGCCTGGTGCCTGAGGGCAAGTATGTGGAGCAAACTGCATTTTGCAGGCCAACATGAGCACCCAGGTAACCCTGGCATCATCTGGTATCTGGGACACGTAGGGATAGATCAGGTGACCAGCGAAAATGTCTGGAGGACACATCCCCACACCAAGGTCCACCTCCCTCTTTTGCCAAAGAGGGATCTCACCAGAACTTGGGCTGGCCATCCACGTGAAGTCTGCTGAAGAGAGAACCTGGGAGACCTGATGTCCGCTGTATCTTCCTTGCCTGTGGCCAGGAGCCTGACACAAACCATCTTCCCCACTTCAGCTCCACATGTGGAGTGCAGCTCTGAGAACCCGTAGCTCCAAGAAGTTGGGCTGCAGTGCTGGGATGCCCATACTCACACAAGCCTAGGAGCTGTGGGGCAGGTGCGTGCACAGTGAACTGCCGAGTTGGCATCCATGCTCCCAACAATCTGTCTGCTCTTGGCAGTGGTGGAGGGAAAGTCACAGTCACAGGCAGAGCCATATGGGGGACACACTGGGCTGCCAGAGTCCGTATGCACAAAGCTGAGAATCAGAGAATTTGAGTTTAGGTGTCAATTCATCGTTACACATGGCGTGGGACAGGTCAGTTCACACAAACTGGGAACTCTCTTTCCTAGGTAAATATATTGTGCTGGATACATCAGCCTGGTGAACAATCATAGATTGTGAATCACCCTAAAAAATACTCAGTCTTCAGACACTCCTCAGTAAAATCCAGGTAGCAATCCATTCCGATCTCTTAGCATAGTTCTAGTTCCTGACATCACTTCTGGTATAGATGATGTTCCCATACTACTGACATTGTCACCCATAGTTTTCCCATTTCCAAGGTCACAATAATAAAATGGGCAATGAACAAACACTTTTCTTCTCCCCTGCCCCTCCTCTTGTCTTTAAGCCATTCAACAAGGCTTCCTTATAATCTAAATGTCTGTGATACTCCTATAATGTTTTGTTGTTTTTTAAAGATTACTTATAGTTCTCCTCTATCTCTCTTTTTCTACATTTGGAATTAGACATGATTTTCCTTTGAGCCAAGTCAGAAGTCCATTTAAGTGTCATTGCCCTATAATGTGCTCAGAACCATTTCTCCTGGACAAGCTCTAGTCTGTCTCTGATTAAGTTTGTACAGTCACGCTCTCTATTAGTTAAGTTCTTTACCTAATCTAATTGAGCACCTGAATGTTGATTTTTCACTGCTAAGGATGCAGAAGGCAAGCTTTCTGTCTCAGGTGTTTGCTCATTGGGTCCCCAATATGTTCCCGTTGGCCTCCCCGAATGTGTCTGAATCCTTAGTTGATGGCTATCTTCTAGGCTCCTGTACTTGGAGTCTCTTGTACTTATCTGTAAAATGAGGGTAGTTAAGCCAATGAGTGAAAATTACTAAAGCTAAAAGAAACTGAGACATCCTCATCTACTGTTTTTTAGACTGCTTTTCACAACTTGTTAGTGAGCTGGAAGATCTATTTAGTGGCTTCCAATCAGCATTTTTTTTAAATAAATAGAATAGTTTTAAAAATAAACAAACCAGGGCAGCCCAGGTGGCTCAGCAGTTTAGCACAGGATCGGGCTCCCTGCATGGAGCCTGCTTCTCCCTCTGCCTGTCTCTGCCTCTCTCTGTGTGTCTCTCATGAATAAATAAAAATAAAATAAAAAATAAAAATAAAGACAAACGAGTGTACAGCACCTAGCAAGGAATGTGTCTTTATCACAAAACTGTTTCAGCTGTGTGTGTGTGTGCACACACCTGTGTGTACTGGGTCATGATATTTTCTTACATTTATTTTCTTACTGATTGACATGAGTCTTTTTATTTTTATTATTATTATTTTTAATATTAAAGGTTTTTTTTAATTTTTATTTATTTATGATAGTCACAGAGAGAGAGAGAGAGGCAGAGACACAGGCAGAGGGAGAAGCAGGCTCCATGCACCGGGAGCCCAACGTGGGATTCGATCCTGGGTCTCGAGGATCGCGCCCTGGGCCAAAGGCTGGCGCCAAACCGCTGCGCCACCCAGGGATCCTGACATGAGTCTTTTTAAATAAGGTAAGAGTTGGTCTAGATCAGTGGTTCTCAACTTATGGTCTCTACACCAGCAATGTCAGCTATTACCCAGGAGCTCATTAGGAATATAAATTTTGGAGGATGCCTGGGTGGCTCAGTGGTTGAGCACCTGCCAGAGTGTGATCCTGGGGTCCCAGGATCGAGTCCCACATTGGGCTCCCTGCATGGAGCCTACTTCTCTCTCTGCCTTTGTCTCTGTCTCTGTCTCTCTCTCTGTGTCTCTCATGAATAAATAAATAAAATCTTAAAAAAAAAAAATATAAATGTTGGGGCCTCATCCCAGACCCACTGAGTGAGAACCTCTAGGAATGTGGACTGGCAATTTATGTTTTAAAAATCTTCCAGGTAACTCTCATATACACAAAAGTTTGAAAACCACTGGGCTCTAGATAATTTAGCCTTTTTCAATCACAGAAGCGATTTGAGCCCTAGAGAAAATTATGTCAGTGACTCTTTTCTCATTTCTCCCAAGTATTACATAGACAGAAGGTATTCTTGATGTATAGGAGAAGAGCTAATTATTACATATGCTGGATACCTTAGAGTATTAGGGCTTAATTCTCTCTTGGAAATGGTTGAAAAGGACTGGTCTAGAATGATGCCCCAAGATTCCCTACAGTGTCAAATTTATGTGACTTTACCCAAATTTTCCAAAACATAAAGAAATCCAACACAAAAATTTAAATACAATTATTTCTGCTTAAAATACATTTCATTCTTATCTTTATGCTGTTGTAAACAATGATCCCATTCTGATAATAAAGAAATTAACTCTTGGGATGCCTGGGTGGTTCAGCAGTTGAGTGTCTGCCTTTGGCTCAGGGCATGATCCCGGGATCAGGCTCCTTGCAGGTAGCCTGCTTCTCCCACTGCCTGTGTCTCTGCCTCTCTCTCTGTGTGTCTCTCATGAATAAATAAATAAAATCTTCATTTATAAAAAAGAAATTAATTCTTAACTATAGAGAACAAACTGATGGCTACCTAAGAGGAGGTTGATGGGGGATTGAGTAAAATGGGTGACGGGGATTAAGGAGTGCACTTGCTGTGATGAGCACAAGGTGATGTTTAGAAGTGTGGAATCAATAAATTGTACACCTAAAACTAATATTACACAATAGATTAACTAACTGGAATTTAAATAAAAACTTTAAAAAAGAAATTAAGTGAATATTACTAAGAATTGGAAACTAAGATTGCTGAGGATATTCAAAATTAGCCTCATGTTCATTTATCTAATCATAATGGTTGTATTGATAAACTCTCCTTAGGACAGTGATTTACAGCATTTAATCAGCTTTAGCCCTGTTTCTTCACAACACACTCCCAATCAGCATCTCTTATCATAATGCTGTGATTCTCCTGGGGACTGGGGGGTGGGGGGGTAGGAGGAGGCTTGAAAAATCTCCTTAAAGACTCTAATGCCACACACCATAAAGAATCACTACACTAGGATAAGAGACAAAGTTGCTAATAACAATCTAAGTCAGCAGAGAACATATCATCCTACCAGAATAGCCTAGTTTTAAATAGGCATTGACTGAGTTCCAGGATGATACAAGAGCTCAGAGCATAATTTATCGTTGTATACTTATTTATTCCCTGCAAAGAATCATTTTATTCTTTCAGAAGAAGCAAAATCTTGTCAGGAGAAAGGAAAAATTGTCTTGTCAATCAACTAATCAAGATTTTTTATGTTTATTTTGTATACATCAATGTACCAAACGATATGTAGGACATGCATGGTTTTATAGCAACTGGATAGAAAAGATCAGAACATATTAAATAAGCAACATAAAAATATAACATTAATATATGTTAAATTATGAAGGACTAATTATGAAACCATTTGAGGGGGTTTTAAGAAAAATAGATTTCTAAATTAATCCCAGAAATGATGGCATAAGACCCATCAGAGGCAAGGCCCAGAACTCAACATTGAAGTACTCCAGATAGTTATGATAGTCAGTCAAGTTAGGCACCATCATCTTAGAAATCCAAAGAGGAAAATCAACTTTTAATTGGTGCAGTGAGTGAACACATTCTTTGTGGGGCAGCGAACACATTCCCCATGCCCCTTTGTGGGGCAGCGAAGCTGAACTAAACCTTGAGGGTCTGGTAGGATGTGAGCAAAGTAGCAGACAGAGAAGAGGGGATCTATGTGCCCCCACCTGGAACAGGAATATTACCTGGGACAAAGCACTAAGGAATCTTTGATTGGTAGAGAACGAGTGCCTAAGCAGTCAGAGAAGACTTCCCCAAAACTGAGTCTGGAAGACTCAACTGCCAGTCAGAGAATGAGGGAAAGGAGACTCCAGGTAGAAGAAACAACTTGTACAGAGTACAGAGGAATGGAAGGGCAAGGCAAGGTGTGTTAAGTGAATAGAAGTTCCATATGACTAGCAAAAAGAATCAAAATATGCCACTTTGGCATTTGGATTATTTTGACCTGAAGGCAACTGAGATTCAGTTATATGCTGAGATTCAGCAGATGCAGAAAGAAGTCTTCTCAGACCTTCCATTAACTCACTACAAACAGAAACTTCTGAGAAACTATGCCTTCCGTAAATCCCACCCCAGAAGAGTTTTATGGCCATGAAAAAAGTTGACCCCAAGATGAGTCTACACAAACAGACCTTTCTAAAATATCCCTATCTTCCATCAGTTTCTCCTATATACTTACCTTCCCACAATTTACCACCCCAGAAGCTCAAATCCCTTCTCTTTGTAGTCACTTCTCCACAATTTATCATTCATTGTTAAAATGATATCTAAACTCTCAAGTATAACTATCTTTTAGAGATTTTTGCTTCTTTCCTGTGAAGCACCATTAATAAAAATGTGTATGTCTTTTCTCCTGTTAATCTCTTTGTCAGTTTAATTTACAGGCCCCATTCATTAACTGAGAGGACAGAGGAAAAATTTTCTTTCCTAGAATTGGCAGAGGAAAAAGGAGAGGAGTCCTATGAGAGACAGGGTAGGAGAAGTGATCAACAAAATTAAGAAGTAAAGGAATAAAAAGAATTGGAAATCCCAAACTCACATGAAGGCAAGTAAATTGCTGGGTGTACATGTATATTATACATTGTGTGAGTGATAGGATCCAAAAACCATAGAGAACTGGTAGATTCACACCAAATCTATAAGGGGCAGCCTTCTCAATACAAGCCAGTCATTGTCTCGATGGGCAATGGGAGCCCAGTGCTGCCAAGTTATCTGATTTATGTTTTCAAGAAAACACAGCAATCTGGATTTTTAGATAATATCTTCAAACTTTTAAATGACTCAAAATTCTTTAAAATATTAGAACAAACAAAAAGTGACTCTTGGGCTGATTTGGATACTAGCTCATTACCTCTAAGCTAGAGTCTAAAAAACTCTTTACTACATTCAAATTAGACTAGTGTCTGTCTATTCCTGCATATGTCTGCTTAACAAGTTGGCAGGAAATGGCAATTAGGCTGAAGCATCATTGGATAGACAACAGAAATCAGGTTTGGAGCTTTTATTCAGAAAGACCCAGAATAAATAAACAAGTGCCTAGGTGGCTCAATCAATTAAGCATCTGACTCTTGATTTCAGTTCAGGTCAAGATCTTGGGGTTGTGAGATATAGCCCTGCACCAGGCTCCATGCTGAGTGTGGAGCCTGCTTAACGTTCTCTCTCTCTCTCTGGGTGCCCCTGTGTCTCAATCCATTGGGCACCTGACTTTGGCTCAGTTCGTGATCCAAGAGTCATGTTACCAAGCCCTGTGTCTGGCTCCCTGCTCAGCAGGGAATCTGCTTGCCCCTATCTCTCTATCCACTGCCCCCCAACCCCCAGCTCATACTCTCTCTCTCAAATAAATAAAATCTTTTTTAAAAAAAGAAGATGATTCTCTCTCAGGGCACCTGGGTGGCTCAGTCAGTTAAGTATCTGACTTTGGCTCAGGTCATGATCTCAGGGTTCTGGGATGGAAACCAGCATCTTGCTCCATGCTCAACAGGGAGTCTGCTTCTCCCTTTTTTTCTGCCTTTCCCTCCACTCATACTCTGTCTCTCAAATAAAAAAAAAAAATCTATTAAAAAAATTCTCTCTCTCCTTCTCCCTCTGCCCCTCCCACCTGCACTTTCTTTCTGAATAAATAAATAAATAAACAAACAAACAATTATAAAAAATTAAAATTAAAAAAGGAAAGACCTGGTTATATCTCTATCATCAGTATCTATACTTTTTCCTCAATTTAAATACAGACAACATATTGTTCTCAAAGTTTGTAACATTCTCTTAAAATTGCCCAACTATATACCAACATGGTCAGAAATATATACTAACATGTACTATATACTAACATAGCCAGAGGCATGATTTGAAAACAGGCATTCTTTATTAAAGTAAAAGTGTTTGAGAGGCACTCAGCTGGCTCAGTTAGTGGAGCATATAACTCTTGGTCTTGGGGTCATTGAATTTGACCAGCACATTGGGTGTGGTGCCTACTTAAAAAAAATAAAATATTTAAAAAATAATAAAGTGAGTACTTGAGACCCTACAAGATTAATTCTAAACGCTAATATTTAGAGGAGAAAAGTACTGTTATGTGCAAGCTGAAAAGGACTTTATTTAGTGCACATACAAACTCTCATTTCATGAGCAACACGAATAAATCTATGGTCTTTCTTATTTTCTTTATTTTCTCCTTGTTGGAAGGTTATTCTAAAGGCAGTTTTATTAAAACTGGAAAATGCTACTATTTTTCAAACTCTCTGAGAAAGAAAAATCATTTAGTTTAGATGCCTGTTTATTTGACTCCTAGAAGACCATTCTTTGACAAATGACAAATCTTATGTTCAAGTTTGTACATACTGCATTGCCATTATAAAATTTACCCTTTTAATAGATTTTAGAAATAACTTTAAGAATCTTAGCTGCAGGGGATCCCTGGGTGGCTCAGCAGTTTGGCGCCTGCCTTTGGCCCAGGGCGTGATCCTGGAGTCCCGGGATCAAGTTCCCCATCGGGCTCCGGGCATGGAGCCTGCTTCTCCCTCCTCCTGTGTCTCTGCCTCTCTCGCTCGCACTCTCTCTCTCTCTCTATGTCTATCATGAATAAATAAATATAAAAAATTAAAAAATTAAAAAAAATTAAAAAAATTAAAAAATAATCTTAGCTGCATAATTCAAAACTTCCCTTATAAAAAAACCTCCCTTATAATAATCTTTAAGATTATGACATGAAAAGATGTTCCGCTGAAAACTAAAATAAGTTTTCATTTCATTTTTCCTCTCTGTATTTTTTTTCACAAGTATGAAATATGATGTTTCTTTACTCTTTTCAAGAAGCTCTGAAAAGCCTGGTCTTTTAGATCATTAAGATTTCTGCTTTCCAGGAAGGGCAGTGTGGTAGGCAGAATAATGGAACACTACCCCCCTCCCCCAACACACACACACACATACACAAAGTTATCTGTGTCCTAATCCTCAGAAATGTTAGTTTACATGGAAAAAGAGACTCTGCAGGTGTGGTTAAATTATGTATCTTGGGGGGAACCCTGGGTGGCTCAGTGGTTTAGTGCCTGCCTTTGGCCCAAGGCATAATCCTGGAGTCCCGGAATGGAGTCATGGGATTGAGTCCTGGGATCAAGTCCCACATCAGGATCCCTGCATGGAGCCTGCTTCTCCCTCTGCCTGTGTCTCTGCCTCTCTCTCTCTGTGTGTCCCTCATGAATAAATAAATAAAATCTTTTTAAACATTATATATCTTGAAATGGGGAGATGATTCTGGATTATCTGTATTGGCCCAATGTAACCACAAGGGTGCTTATAAATTATAAAGAAGGGAAGAAACTGATGTGACATCAAGGAAGCTAAGATTAGAGTGATGTGATTATTGAAGAAGGAGAGGGAGGGTAAGAAGCCAAGGTATGAGGACAGTTTCTAGGAGCTAGAAAAGAGAAGAAAATAGATTTTTCCCCTAGAGACTCCAGAAGGAAGGCAGCCTTGCTGGCTTTAGGCCTATGAGATCCCTGACACCTGACTTTCAGAACAGAAAGGTAATCAATTTGTCTTGTAAGTCCCTAGATTTGTTGTCACCTGTTACAGCAGCCACAAGAAACTAAAATAGACAGTAACCCCAGGGATAGATACTGGGAGGGATTTTAATTGGTATTTTACATTCTTTTTGGGTAAGAGTTTAATCAAAGGTTAGCAGGATTAGTAAATAGCCCCATGCCTCCTCACAAGAGCACTCTCAACAAGTCATCATCCAGCCTCTACCTGAACACCTTCTACACAGAAAATTCATCATCTTTCATAGATACCTGATGGACTTCAGATACTTTTAAGTATTAGAAAATTCATCCTTGTACTTTTCTGAGGCCAAAAGCAGGGTTGCTTAACTCTTAGATCAGTGTTCTTTTCATTCTATCAAATTCAGCTTGAATGAGGTCTCTCTCTCTCTCTCTCTCTCTCTATATATATATATATATATATATATGTATGTGTATATATATATATGTATATATATATATATATATCCAGTTTACAATATAAGCAATTTCAAAATAAAATCTACAAGATTCCTAGGTGATCCTATAGAAAAGATGATAATATTTACTTTTTAAAGCATTGTTTTTACTGCAGCAAAATTCATTATAAAATTATTTTTTAAAATCTATGTTGGCTAACCTCCATTTAAATTGATGATTTGTATGAGAGAAGAAATTTAGAGCAATATGACTTGTTCATTCACATTATGTGTTACAACTTACATCAAGAAGTGAGTCAAAAATGAAAGCCTTCATTCTCTTCAATTGATTTTGCATTAAGGATTACTTTCTGTTAGCATCTTCAACAACCCTAGGGGAACAAATAATTATTCCATTTTCATTATAATTAGGTAATTATGTATAATACATATAGGCTTAAATTCCACTAGCTACATATTCCTATTTTTTCATATCCTACATATAAACCCTTATTTAACTAGTCAAATTAGAAAGAATATGGATTCAGATATGACTCAGTCTCAAAATCCAGTTCCTTTTTGGCCTTCTGATTTTTGACAGATCGGTAAGCTACTGAACCTTAGCGTCATTATCTGTAAAATGGGAGTTATACTTACAGAGGCTTATGATTGCATAAAATAATATGGATCAAAGGAGTCGAACCCAACACAGGTACATACATAAATATTAATTTCTTTCCCCAGTCCAAATAACGCAAACTAAGAAACTAAAAGAGGAATAACGTTAAGGATAGGTGCATTTAGCCATTAGACACAAAAACGTTTGAGATAATATTCTTTTCCCCACTGCAAATAATGCAAACTAAAGAACTCAAAAAGGATTAATATTAAGGATAAATGTCTAATGGCTCTCAAAAATGTTTGAGAACTACAAAGTTAAATCTACTGGCTGAGTGTGAAAATTCTTTGAATGCCTACACAATTCATCATTATGCCAGCTCGTGGTTAAATATAATTTCCTAAATGCGCCATCACTCTGAAACAATTTTCCTCGTTTATCAATAATTTCTAAGGACGTACCCAGCCAATCACTGACAAGGAATCCCAAGCCATCATGCATCGAATGTCACAGGGAGCCAAGTGTCAAAGATAATAACATCACAACAGCAAACTTTACTCCCTGTTTAAATTGTGTGGGATTTAAAATATACGCTGTTCAAAAAAAAATAATAATAATAAATAAAATAATAAAATAAAATAAAATAAATAAAATAAAATAAAAAAATAAAAAAATAAATAAATAAATAAAATAAAATAAAATAAAATAAAATAAAATAAAATAAAAGCTGTTCTATCTGATATAGAATAACCCCACCCCCACCCGCCTCTTTAAAACAGGACGCCTGGGAATACAATGCCCGGAGAGGGTTTAAGGAATCGGGGAGAGAAAGCAACAGGGGGAAGGCAGCAACTCTCTGGACACACCTGTGTCAAGGGAAAGTTGCCGCCTCTCTCTAAGCCTGAAATAAAGCTACTGCAGCCACAAGGAAATCACAAGGCATGTTATCTGCCGCTCTCGGCGCTGGTCCGTCTACGCCGGTCCTAAGGAATCACGAGTTTTCCCTTCCTGCACGACCCCACAGTTCCGCGGAGGCCGCGCCAGCCAGCACGGGGCCGGGCATCGACTCGGGTGACTCGGCGGGATCCAGAGACCCTGCTTCCCAGCCAACACCCACCGAGCGTCGAGGCAACCCCCTCCACCCGCCCCAAGCTCCTCCCGCGCCCGCCCCGCCCCAGGACTCGCACATGCGTACGCCCAACTAAGAGAGGTTAGGGACCCCACGCCCAGCTGCCACGCAGCCGGTCCTCCTGCCCTTCTTCGGGCGGCCGGCTTCACTAGTCACTAGTACGCATGTGTGAGGCCGCGCCGCCCCGCAGCCCTCTAGCCGGCCGGGGTGGGGCGGCAGGCGGGACCGAGTTCCCTGCGCACGCTCGGGACATGCGCAGTGCGGCGGCTGAGGCGCCAGCTGTCGACTTGGAAGTTCCGGGGAGGCGGCGCATGCGCGAGTGTACGCGTTGCCGGCGAAGAGGGGAGCCTGACGACTCGGAAATTTGAATACCACAGTAGCATGGAGTGTGACCTCATGGAGACTGACATCTTGGAGTCGTTGGAAGATCTAGGGTAAGACTGCCAGGGTGCGGGTCTCCTGAACCGCACACTGCCGGCCCCCCGGGAACACCTCCTGCGCCCCAGTCGGGGACACCTGCCTCTGCACGCCGCGCCCGGGGGCTCGGGGACCCCGGTGCCACGTCCACTGTCAGCCCGGTCGGGTCGGGGCCCTCCTAGCGCGACGACCCGAGGCCTGCCCTCTGCTCCCTGCAGCCCAGTTACCCGCAGCGTTTGTCAGTCGTGCGTGTCATTGTCTGGGCTCTGGGTTCTCGCCCCCCCCCCCCCCGAGCTTGTCTTCTTGCTCCCCATCCACTTGCCCTACCCCCCGCACTCTAGAGGTTGCCAGAGTGGACTCTCTTTTTTTTTTTTTTTTTTTTTCCTACTTGTCCTCCAAACTTCCTGCTCCTCTCTTGAGCACCTATTTCTACCCCACCCCATTTCTCTGGAAAAACCAACCAACCAACCAGCCTCTCCTTTGCCCAGTCATCCCTGCCTGCACTCCGGCTTCCCCAAGCCACATGCCTGCATCCGTACCGCTAGCCAGGCTCGCTTGTGCACCTAACCTGTCACTACTTCGTGGGGACCACTCCCTGGCTGTTGCCCCCGACAGTGACACGCTCCCCCTTGAGCCACCATCAGTCATCTTCCACCACCAAGTGCTTACATGTGTGCCGTGCGTTTCGTCTCTTTTGACGATCACCCAACCGTGATTTAGTACCCAGAAGCTGGGAATGGGGCTTCTTACCTCACTGGGTCACTGAGGTTAGTGGACTCTATTAAAACTTGAGAATTCAGAACCTGTCGGGCCAAGTGCGGTTCCAGAAACAAACTGTGGGATTAAATATTTTGTCTACAGGTGGATGGTGTCCAAAAAAAAAAAAAAAACACCTAGATTTAGCTAGCTGTATTTATAAAGTAGCAGGTCCTTTATCAAAACCTTTCCCGAAGGTTTTTCCGTGACATGGAAACCTTAGGGCAGCTTTTCTTCAGGAAGGGACACCGTGAGGTTCTCAGAGTCTGTCCGTTTAAGTAACTTGGCTGCCCTGACGATGGAAATTTTGGGGAAAAGAAGTGGTGGTGGTGATCCTCTCTTTTGTCAAATTGAACGACCCTTGTTCTTTTCATTGGAACTTGCTTTGGATTTTCATGAATATTCCAGACTTTAGGGGACTCGCTTCTTCGATAAGGAGATAGATGAAAGTCACATTCAGTAAAATGGTCTCTTTGGTGGACATCTCGGACTAAATTGCTCGCCCACATATAAATCCATTTTTCAGTCAGTTTTTTTTTTTTTTTTTAGGAACACTTGAGCTATGGCAGTGTTAGGCTGATTATTTATGGGCGCAAAGTGAGGTGGAAGAGAAGTTCACACTGTGAGAATATGCTGTGAGGAGAACTAAGTAAGGCCCCCTTGGTTGGAAAGGACATCAAGTCCTAAAAGCTTCCTAAAAGAAATGACACGTAGGGTTAGCATGGAAGGAGTAAGTAGAATGAGAGGAGGGGGCCTTACTTACATGTGGTCGTTCTGGTGTTCTGGTGCGGTAGACTTGCCTAACAACTCGTGATGGATGCTGTTTCTTCCCATTATTGTTCTTCTACCCTTTTAACTATATCTTTCTGGAGTACTGAAAAGTAATTGTTGCTTATAATAATGGTTAATCAAGTAAATATTGGGGATGGATTGTAATGTAGACTATCAGATTTTCTGAAAACTTTGCTATGAATTTTAAGCATAACTACTTAGTTTGGTGGCATTCAGTCATTAAAATTCAAGCTTGATTAACTGACATGTACTTTTAAAGGATTCACTGAGAAATACGAGAATTTAAATGATTTATCTTTTATCTTCAGTGTGGCAGACAGTAGGAATTCAATAACCACTTGTAGAATAAACTAACAAATTCTAAATGTGTAACACAAGGAGAGATTTCTAGGCCTCGTCTCTTGATTGCAGTGTCTAAAAACATGTGCTTTTGAATCTAGGTGCCAGACTATATATAATCTGACTTTTTGCATAAGACTTTTTTACATTCCATTCCGTGTATAAACATAGGTGCATTTTGAGAGAATTAAATGTCATTTCTTTTACCTCTCTATATTTCCAAACATCAAATTATCTTGTTTATTTAATGTTTCATCTTTAATAACTTCTTATGAATATCTCACTCAAAAGACAAAATAATCTTCTGGAGAATATGTATTTTAATATTACCTTGAAAATGACAGAATCTTTAGTTCTAGCTATATTCTAGGTTGGGGCTCAGTATTAATATTGTCTTTTATGAATGTTTGAACATTTAATAATATTTTAAAATTATGCTTCAATCACTTTCAAAGGATTAGGATTCGGATGCAACAGTTCACCGAGACATCAGCTTGCCAGCAATTATTAATCATTTAAATTATTCCAGACATTTCTCTGGGACTAGTATGTCTTAATAGTCTTAACTGTCATTAAATATAGAAAAGGAAATAAATGATTAATAGGAGGGTTTTTGCTTTTAAAGTAAGTCATTAAAAAAACTAACCTAATTTATTTCTGGAAAAATTTCTGGAAAAGGTAACTTAACTTTTATGTCTGAAATCGTAAACTATAGTATAATCAACTATCATTTGTCAATGTGGTTTTAATAATCATTTCAGTTAAAGTAAGAAAATCTGTACAGTAAGAGCTCTCAACAAATGTATAGGAGTTGACATAATTTAGTAGTATATATGATTTTCTTAAATATTTATATATATATTCTGAAGGGTTGAAATGCAGTTACATTGTAGCTTATTTTTCTAATAGATTTTATTAGATTAAACTTAAAATTTAGATTTAATTTTCTATGAATTTTATTTACATTTGCAAGTTTGCAAATTGGTCATCGTAACTTATGAAATTGTTTCGTCATGCAAATAATACATAGATATAGTGTTTATATAAAACATTAGGTGTGATTTTATATTCTTCTGAAGTATAATTTTTTACTCACCAGTTACAAGGGTCCATTGTTGGAAGATGGTGCTCTTTCTCAGGCAGTCTCTGCTGGAGCCAGTTCCCCCGAGTTTACCAAACTCTGTGCTTGGCTGGTGTCTGAATTAAGAGTGTTCTGTAAACTAGAGGAAAATGTGCAAGCAACTAACAGTAAGTAAACATTCAGTTTTAGGTGCAAAATATAAAAATAAAATTGGGGTATTGTCAGTTTAACATTATTAGTACTAAACTTGAAGTTTTAAGTTCTTTGTAAATGTAAAAAAAAAGTTTATAAAGAAACCCCAATACTCACAGGATATAGTTGTGCAATTACTAAAACACTGTGGATGTTGAAAAGATCTTAATATTGAGATTCAGAAATGGGAGACAAGTATAGCATATGTGAACTTCCCAGTCTTTGTGAAACATGACTTGAGTTTTTAAATCAGTGGCTAGAACTGGCAACTAGGATATTCTTAGATTTCAGAAGTACATATAGCATATAAATGCATTATAGTTTTGTTATACATGGGGAGAAAGAGAACACTCTTAAGAAGTTAGGAATGTTATCAGTACATCCATCACAACCAGATTTATGGTGTTGAGATCGGTTTTATATTTGCCAATTTTGTTATTGTATAAGCACTAGTTTGTTGACTCTGCAAAAGAGACAAAAGCTTGGAACCCAACACTCCACCATCTGGTTCCCTCCTACCATAGGTAAAACCTACAATAGGAGACAAAGAAAAATGCTCTCTTACTAACTTTCCCTCATGGAGAACTAAGCACGTAATCCCTTTTTTCTCCCTCCACACAGAATCCTGTTTTAAAGAACTCACTTTCTTGCGTGTTCAGTATATTTAATGTACACGTTAGTTGCAACCAGTTCCAATTACTAAGGACACTGTAGTGTAACAGTAAGGGTAGCAGCAGCTTACATTAATTGAATGATATAAGTACTTTCCATGTGTTAACTCACTTAAAACTTGAGGCAGGGAAGCACAGCTAGGTTAAATGTGTGAGTTGAAGTCACACAACCAGTACCTGATATACAGCCAGAATTCAATCCCAAGCAGTCAGGTTTGGGACCCAGTGCTCTAAATGCTGCCTCTTGACCTGACATTTCAGAAATTGTAGGAACTTGTGAAAACACCTGTAGTAAATGAAATCCTGGAACGCCTTTGTTCACATGAAAACATAGAAGCCAACATACAAAACAAGTAGCAGTGTACCTGTTTAGTTGACGTTAAGAAAGATTACTTTTTGCACAAGTCTTTCTTCCTCTTCCCCAGCTGTTTCTAAATTTCTGTGGAATTTGAGTTCACAAAACAGTTTACAAAACATTGATAATACAGCCTTCCCATTTTACAGTTGAGAAGATGGACCCAGGTCAAATGACTCTTTCAGAGTTTGTTAATTTTTGCCTGTATGTGATAGACAAACATCAGAATAGTAAGGAAGAAATAGCATTATTATTTCTCCTTGGTTCACCAGATGAACTCTGTATTTAACATATTTGGAAATACAGAACTGTAAGTCATGTTTGCTAACTTAAATTTAACCTCACTGGGAATATTAGGCACAAATGAAACAAGTGGAGATTAGTACAGTC